AAGTAGAATCTTGACGAACTAATCCCCGGGAGTTACACGCAAAACGGTCCGAAGGGTCCGCATCTTTGATAGTTTTCAGACAGTTATTGATGGTATCCAATGTCGAAAGCAACTCAGTCAGCTGTCCACATCGTCTCTTCCCTGGGTTTGTGTTCGCCAATCTTCTCAGGTGTACATCGGGTAAATTATACGGTACCGATAGCACTAAAATCCTTCCCAAGGTGTATAAGCTGGGTCCAACTCGCCTCGATAGTACAAGGTGTCGCGCGTAGAGACATCAACGAGTCTGATGCTGTTGACAGTTGCAACAGTCTGTCTCACAGCCTGTCCGAAAGAGTTTCTAGTCTACCGTACGCAACCGTCAAGGTTCGTACTGTGTCCTCATAATTTTCTGCCGTCGATTGAAATCCGGCAATAATGCTCTCGGCTGAACCTCTGAGATATAACTTGAGGTGCGTGAACTTAGACGACACTGGCACACTGTCGTTACTATGCGCGGCTGTCGAAAAGAGATCCTTGAATTCCAGAAGTTCATCCATATCGCCGTAGAAGGTAAGGATCTCGAACGTATGCAACTTCAATGACTGTTCCATGGTGGAAGAAGAATTGGGGGTTGGGGACTAAAAGAGCTAAACGGATTCGACGGATGAAAAACTGGAAGGGGATTTACAAAAGGTTGGGTGAGGTAGAGGGTCCTGAATGGGGTTGTCGAATCCTTGCGCAGCACTTGGCGCGCGTGCTGGTAGAGGGATATGTCGCCGCTGGTACGACTATCAGTAGGCGGTTTCGGTCATGCAAGAAAGAATGGTTTGCGACTTCCATTCTCATATCCGGCGCGTGTTACTGAGGCAAAACTAGGGTCTTGGGGATCGAGAGTAAATTCAACAAAGGAGGAGGGAAAGAACAGTAGAAGTGCAAAAATAGTATGAAGCGTTTCATCATCCTCCACAAGCCCATCCAGTGCATTGGATTCCCAATAATCCTGGATCTACTGGAGGAAGGCGAATTCGCCTTTTTC